GGGGACTGATGTAAATGTACAATATATATGTAAAGCGCTGTGTAAATTGATGGCGATATATAAGTACCTGAAATAAATAAATAGGAATTGCTGTGAAATCTCATGTTTTTAACGTGACTTTACACAACTAACGTCACCAGCGTTCTCAAAACGTCCCGTGTGCATGAGGACTTGAACACTGCAAACACGCCGGCAAAAAAATCCTAATATTAGCGGTCTTTTGTATCCGGTGTTTTTTTCTAGCAGTTTTGGAGCTGCTGATATGCATGGAGCCTAAGCCCCGGTTCACATATGCGCGGGCCGTGCTTTGCGCGGGTACGAGAACCCATTCGTTTGAATGGACTCCCGTGCCCCATGACAAGTCCCTGCACTTCTTGCAAAAATGCAGCCCGCACAGGAACCTCGGTTCCCAGTAGAGTTGCGTTTTCCAGTGCGGGCGGCGTGCCATTAGAACTAATGGCACCCGCCCGCGGTTCTGCATTCCTCTGTGCGGGTGGTGCGGCTGCACGGATGTTCGTGCGGATCCTCACCCGCACATATATGAACCTAGCCTAAAAGTCCATGGGTTAGGGGGAGCAAATGACTTACTTTGCCCCGGGCGCTGACAACCCACGCTACGCCACTGGGTCAGCTTAATGTAAATCTCATGACTGAGTGTTTTTTATGTCTAGTTTGTAATTCTATATGTACATTGGGGGGGGGGTTTGTTTAACCCCTTCACGCCGGTGCCTCCCGGCCCTTTAAATGTTTCAGAAGCCGGGAGGTGGGGCGGGGTTTAGGGTCATGCGATCGGCGGTCACATGATCGGGAAAGGTCCCGATCGATAGCGGAGATCGGGACCTTTCCGTGAGTACCGGACATGTGTGCTGGGAGTGTGCAGGACGTGCGCTCTCAGCACCTATGTTCTTTTTTAATACAACGCAAATGTGTGGCCGCTCAGTGTCTAGGCCCAGACGCCGTGAGGTCGCACATTTGCGTTCGGCCGGCGTGAAGAGGTTAATGTAAATCTCATCACTGAGTGTCTAGTTTGTAATTCTATATGTTCATGGGGGGGGGGGGGGTTTGTTAATTACACATGCAGGCTGTGCTTCCTAGTTCATTGAGCTTCACAGTGATTGTACCTCGCTGATCGTACTGCAAGGTTTGATTTGTAAACATTAGACTGTCTGCAGTCTCTGTTGACCTGGGGCAGACTGACAACTCATGGGGCCCCCGGGCAATAGGGGATCATGGGGCCCCTGTGTCCTTGACCAAACTCAAAAAAGCCTATGAAAAAGGTACCAGGGGCATCTCATGGGGCCCCTACTGACCCTGGGCCCTCAATAGGGGATCATGGGGCCCCTGTGTCCTTGACCAAACTCAAAAAAGCCTATGAAAAAGGTACCAGGGGCATCTCATGGGGCCCTCTACTGACCCCGGGCCCTCAATAGGGGATCATGGGGCCCCTGTGCCCTTGACCAAACTCAAAAAAGCCTATGAAAAAGGTACCAGGGGCATCTCATGGGGCCCCCTACTGACCCCGGGCCCTCAATAGGGGATCATGGGGCCCCTGTGTCCTTGACCAAACTCAAAAAAGCCTATGAAAAAGGTACCAGGGGCATCTCATGGGGCCCCCTACTGACCCCGGGCCCTCAATAGGGGATCATGGGGCCCCTGTGTCCTTGACCAAACTCAAAAAAGCCTATGAAAAAGGTACCAGGGGCATCTCATGGGGCCCCCTACTGACCCCGGGCCCTCAATAGGGGATCATGGGGCCCCTGTGTCCTTGACCAAACTCAAAAAAGCCTATGAAAAAGGTACCAGGGGCATCTCATGGGGCCCCCTACTGACCCCGGGCCCTCAATAGGGGATCATGGGGCCCTGTGTCCTTGACCAAACTCAAAAAAGCCTATGAAAAAGGTACCAGGGGCATCTCATGGGGCCCCCTACTGACCCCGGGCCCTCAATAGGGGATCATGGGGCCCTGTGTCCTTGCCCAAACTCAAAAAAGCCTATGAAAAAGGTACCAGGGGCATCTCATGGGGCCCCCTACTGACCCCGGACCCTCAATAGGGGATCATGGGGCCCCTGTGTCCTTGACCAAACTCAAAAAAGCCTATGAAAAAGGTACCAGGGGCATCTCATGAGGCCCCCTACTGACCCCGGGCCCTCGGGCGGTGCCCGAGTTTCCAAATGGTCAGTCCGCCCCTGCTGTTGACATTAATGCCCCGTACACAGGATAAGAAAATCGCATGAAGAATTTCGTGGAACCACTGATCGAACGATTTTCCTCTTCGTGGATGTTTTAACCGATAACGATATTGTGAACGAAAAAATCCGGTTGAACAACAGTGAAAAATGTTGTCGTTTCGCATACAAACGATCGATTTTCTATGCGGTGGTATGACGATCGTATGAAAAAAATCTATCAAGCGCTATCACGCATGAGCGGAAACAGAAGATGACCCGGATGTTTATGTCCGAGGAATCTTCGTAAACACGAACGAAAAATCCAAATGTTAAAAGTAGATCGGCCGAATGAGATGATGAAACCGGAATTCTGCAGATTATATTTTATGTATCACTATTTATGTATATAGGTCATGTGATAAACGATATTATCCTCATTGCTGGTAATCGTTGTGTAGATCGCTCGTTCTGGCCGGAAGGGGCGTGGCTACAAGGTCACATGCACACCGCATCACTTCCACTTGTACGGAAGACGTCAGCACTACGTATTGCCCGACGAACGATTTTTTTTAGATCGGTTAATGTGGGCCACGATTTCGACCAACGAATGAATGCCTCTCAGTCATCGGATGACCGATCGGTCGATTTTCTAATCGTGTATTCCCGAAACCAAATTAGAAAGAGAAATTGCACTTAATTCCTATAGAGCCCAAGGAACCCAAATTGCATCTTCATATCAGCCAATCACAAACAGTTAGCCTGTCTCCGCTCACCATTAAAGTGGTTGTAAACCCTACCAGGTGAAGTGAATGGCTTCAGGTGATACACAGAAATGAAACACGTAAGTTGTACCCAGGGGTGGACTGACAACTCATGGGGCCCCCGGGCAATAGGGGATCATGGGGCCCCTGTGTCCTTGCCCAAACTCAAAAAAGCCTATGAAAAAGATACCAGGGGCATCTCATGGGTCCCCCTACTGACCAAGTTTCCAAATGGTCAGTCCGCCCCTGGTTGTACCTGTTTATCTGCTGCCCTGTTTTGAGTGCAGAATTTATACAGCTTGTCTGAGCTTTCAGAAAGCAGACGGTGGGTAGCTGAAGGTACACTCCGTGAGAAGAGCTCTGAGAGCTGATTGGAGAAAAAGTACACGCCCCCCCTTCCCTTCTTCACACAGGAACGGAGCTGCGGCAGTCAATGACAGGCTCCCTGCTGGAGCTCCCTCCCCCGTCACCTTTTTAACTCTTGGTGTCAATAAAACCTTCCAGAAGTGACTTGTACAGGTAGCAGATCAACGAGGTAGCAAGGAGAAATGACACTCAGTGTTCTGGATTGAGACAAGTGCACACCAGTGGCGTCCCTAGGCAGCACACAGCCTGTCATTGACAGCCGCAGCTCCGCTCCTGTGTGCTGTGTGAAGAAGGGAAAGGGGGGGTGGGTGTACTTTCCCTCCAATCAGCTCTCAGAGCTCTTCTCACGAAGTGTAACTCAGGGGCTTGTAAAGCGAGCCGACAATCCCCGCAGGATGGATCGGATCTGCGGATTGAGCATAATGGATCGGAGTCCGATCCATTATGCTCCCCAACCCGCAGATCCAATCCATCCTGCGGGGATCGTCGGCTTTCTTTACAACTTACGTTTTTGTGGAGCGGGTCCGGTGTCACCCCATATAGGTTACATGCTGAAGGATCCCCGCAGGATGGATCGGATCTGCGGATTGGGGAGCATAATGGATCGGAGTTGGATCCATTATTGCTCAATCCGCAGATCCGATCCATTCTGCGGGGATAGTCGGAGGGGGTGTCACCGAGTGTGATTTCACTGGTAGACACCAACCCTAAGGATGCCCTTGAGTTACACTCCATGAGAAGAGCTCTGAGAGCTGATTGGAGGGAAAGTACACCCCCCCCCCTTCCCTTCTTCACACAGCTTACAGGAACGGAGGTGTGGCTGTCAATGACAGGCTGTGTGCTGGAGCTCCTCCCCCGTCACCTTTTTAACTCTTGGTGTCAATAAAACCTTTCAGAATGATTCATACAGGTAGCAGATCCACGAGGTAGCAAGGAGAAATGACACTCAGTGCTCTGGATTGACACAAGTGCACGCTATAGAGGGATGTGCTTTGTTCATCTTTCATGTCTGGGGTTCACAACCACTTTAAGAAAAGAAAAACGATATCAGCAGCACCCCATTATTCGGTTTTCTTTGCTGATTTATGCAGTTTGATGTTTTGGGCCAGTTTGCCATGCAGATCCGATTCACTAACAAAGCAGATATGCTGCCAACCTGGACTCGGTGACCCAGAAACATTCACTGGGAGTCCCGGCTCCTATCGCATGCTTTGCCAATGGCAGAGCATGCAGCGGTCTCTTGGGGATTCGGTGTGCTAGCGAAGCAGACATGCTGCCAACCTGGACCCGGAATGCAGCAAGTACCTTCACTGGATTGTGCAAAAGGATTCCTTCGTCTCTAGATTGGATTGAAACGTGAGTGGCACTTTTGGATATTCAATTGGGTTTTCCAGATAAACCATCAGCATGCTTCTGCAGACATGAAGCCTATGTGTGTTCAGAATGAGGGGTCTCCTGGATCATCCTGACATGATGGCTAGGCTGGCCATACACTATACATATTTCTTGAGATTTTTGCTTTAGATTAATGCCGGCCATAGACGGGTTGAAAATCGGCCGATTTTTGCACCGTTAGTGGGTTAATTGGTCGGCCGTTTTTTGGGCTTTTGCACATTTATTTTGTCGGGCATTTTGGAAAATTCATGGGCGATTTTGACGATCGCTCGATTTTCCTGGCAATGATGGGAAAATCGGCCGATCGTTTCACCGATAAAAAAATCTGCGCATGAGCCGTGATCTGCAAGAAGAAGAGAAAGAAGAGGAAGAAGAAATAGAAGAAACAGGAGAAGAAGAAGAAGGAGAAGAGAAGAAGGAGGAGAAAGAAGAAGAGGAGGAGAAGAAGAAGGAAGAAGAAGGAGGAGGAGGAGAAGAAGAAGGAGGAGGAGGAGAAGAAGAAGAAGAAGGAGGAGGAGGAGGAGGAGGAGAGGAGAAGAAGAAAAGAGGAGAAGAAGAAGGAGGAGGAGAGGAGGAGAAGAGGAGGAGAAAGAAGAAGAAGAAGAGGAGAGGAGAAGAGAAGAAGAAGAGGAAGAGGAAGAAGAGGAAGAAGGAAGAAGAAGAGAAGAAAAAGCAGAAGAAGAAGAAGAAAAAGAGAAGAAAAAGAAAAGCAGAAGAAGAAGAAGAGGAAAAAGAAAAAGACGACGAAAAAGAAGGCGAATAAGAAAAATAAGAAGAAAAATAAAAATAAAAATAATAATAATAGTAATAAGAAGAAGAATTCCAGTCCGCTATTATATTTTATATGAAAAGTATTGCGGTTGCAACAAATGTATCTATTTGTATCCATTTCAGATACAGATGTTTTCATTCGGATAGAAATAGATACATTGTTGCAACCGCAAGACTTTTCATATAAAATATAATAGCGGACTGGAATTCTTCTTCTTATTACTATTATTATTATTTTTATTTTTATTCTTCTTTTTCTTCTTATTTTTCTTATTCGTCTTCTTTTTTGTCGTCTTTTTCTTTTTCCTCTTCTTTTTCTTCTGCTTTTTCTTCTTCTGCTTTTTCTTCTACTTCCTCTTCTTCTTTTTCTTCTTCTTCTTTTTCTTCTTCTTCTTCTTCATCTTTTTCTTCTTCTGCTTTTTCTTCTTCTTCTTCTTCTTCTCTTCTTCTTCTTCCTCTTCTTTATTATTTTTCTTATTCGTCTTCTTTTTCTTCTTCTTCTATTCTTCATATTATTTTTATGTATTGCTCCCGTCTCTGCAAGAGACAGAAGTAATTATGGGGTTAAATGCCAGCTATAGACGGGATGAAAATCGGCCATTTTTATTAGTAACGTCGGCCGATCGAACGAAGGATTTTTCATTTTTGTATTAAAAAAACAGCCGTTTTTTCGACCCGTCTATGGCCTGCTTAAGGCTGGCCATACATTATACAATCTTCTTGAGATTTTTGGTTTAGATTTACCAAAAAACCATATAATATGAGGTCAATCCCAAAACAACAATTTCAATGGTATCCAGTTAAGCAGGCCCTTACACTACATAGTTGAAGGTAAATCTAAAGAAAATTGGGTAGAAATTGGACAGAAAATTGTAAGAACATTGTATGGTGTATGGCCGGCCTTAGTCGTGCATTGTGCAGCTCACAGCATTTCTATAGGGCAGGGCATGACAAATAATTTATTTTTCCCTTTACACCTGCCCACCTAATAATCAAATCAAGAAATAAAAAATGATTTTGCAAATTGCAGATTCATTGGTGAATCACTATTGTATCTGATGGGTGAATGTGAATCGCTCATTTTCAGATGGATTGCTTACTGTCTGGTTTCGGTTTACTGTGCAGTCGTTGATTATTAGTCCTTCATTGCTTCAAGCGATGCCAACAGGCAGGGGCGGACTGACCATTTGGAAACTCGGGCACTGCCCGAGGGCCCGGGGTCAGTAGGGGGCCCCATGAGATACCCCTGGTACCTTTTTCATAGGTTTTTTTTTTAGTTTGGGCAAGGACACAGGGGCCCCATGATCCCCTATTGCCCGGGGGCCCCATGAGTTGTCAGTCTGCCCCTGCCAACAGGTAATGTAAGCACGGGGGATGAAGCTACATATGGATCCTGAAGGCTGTGTAGACAAGTGAATGACGAAGAGGTCAGCCGGTAGTGTGCGAGGAAGAGAAGAATCCTCTTGTTTCAGGTTTCATGCTGCCTGTTCATTTTGTGTTTGGCTCACCTAGAGCTCATCATAGTAACTTTAGTATATAAGAAAAGCAAAAATAATTCACTGTCTCTGCCGTGACTCCTTTATCATCCCTGGCACTATAATAATACTCACTGTGGCCTACAACCCATTAGTTCATATTGTATATTCTACCACTTTAATGCCCTTTTACTGGATCATGTCTTGTAGAGGTCAACCACAGCATTTCAGGAAGGTGGCACCATCTTTGTATTGCTGGCAAATATTCCGTACGTTTGTGGAAATCCACTCCAAGGTCCCTACTGTTCACTCGCAGCCATCCACTTTTGTTTTACTAATGTCCCCGTTGGCCATAGCCGGGAGGACCTCATCCTCCGGGCTCTCCTGCATGTCATTGTCCGTGGTCTGGTTGGCCTTGCTGTTGATGGAGGTAAGCTGCAGCGCCTCGCCTTTTTCATTGAGTTCTGCCAGCTCCTTGGCACTGCAGGTTGGAGTTGGTGTTTCATCAGTGTTGTGGAAGGTGTCGTAGTCCACTTCATAGAAACCTTCTTCTAGAGTCAGGACGGGCATGAACCGGTGGCCCCATAGGACCTCATTTTCCACATACGAGCTGCGGGCTTGACATGTCATACCTACAGAATAAAGAGTACCTGCTTTACTCTGTCTTTACTCTACAGATATATGAGAAAACATTGTGGACTCTTGACTCTCACGCCTATCACCGTTCAGTGTTATCCACCCCTCTCTGCCAATCCCTCCACTGGCCTCCATTCAGTGTCTACTACCCCTCTCTGCCAATCCCTCCACTGGCCTCCAATCAGTGTCCTCCACCCCTCTCTGCCAATCCCTCCACTAGCTTCTACTCAGTGTCTACTACCCCTCTCTGCCAATCCCTCCACTGGCCTCCATTCAGTGTCTGCTACCCCTCTCTGCCAATCCCTCCACTGGCCTCCAGTCAGTGTCTGCTACCCCTCTCTGCCAATCCCTCAACTGGCCTCCATTCAGTGTCTGCTACCCTTCTCTGCCAATCACTCCACTGGCCTCCCATTCAGTGTCTACTACCCCTCTCTCCAATCCCTCCATTGGCCTCCACTCAGTGTCTACTACCCCTCTCTGCCAATCCCTCCACTGGCCTCCATTAAGTGTCTACTACCCCATTCTGCCAATCCCTCCACTGGTCTCCATTCAGTGTCTACTACCCCTCTCTGCCAATCCCTCCACTGGCCTCCAATCAGTATCCTCCAATCATTGTCCTCCACCCCTCTCTGCCAATACCTCCACTGGCCTCCAATCAGTGTCCCCCCCCCCCTCTCTGCCAATCCCTCCACTGGCCTCTATTCAGTGTCTGCTACCCCTCTCTGCCAATCCATCCACTGGCCTCCATTCAGTGTCTACTACCCCTCTCTGCCAATCCCTCCAGTGGCCTCCAATTCAGTGTCCTCCACCCCTCTCTGCCAATCCCTCCACTGGCCTCCATTCAGTGTCTGCTACCCCTCTCTGTCAATCCCTCCACTGGCCTCCATTCAGTGTCTCCTCCCCTCTCTGCCAATCCCTCCACTGGCCTCCATTCAGTGTCTACTACCCCTCTCTGCCAATCCCTCCACTGGCTTCCAATCAGTGTCCTCCACCCCTCTGTGCCAATCCCTCCACTGGCCTCCACTCAGTGTCCTCCACCCCTCTCTGCCAATACCTCCATTGGCCTCCCCTCTCTGCCAATCCCTCCACTGGCTTCCAATCAGTGTCCTCCACCCCTCTCTGCCAATCCCTCCACTGGCTTCAACTCGCTCAACAATAGTGCTAACATTCAGACATTCCTGATCAGTATATTACTATTATACAGGATTTATATAGCGCCAACAGTTTGCGCAGCGCTGTACAATATAAGGGGGGGCGGTACAATTACAATACATTTCAATACAAAAGAAATAGGAGGGCCCAGGTCGTGGAGCTTACAATCTGCAGGAATACATACATTCTGTTTATGTTCTAAGTGAAAGGTTGGCACGGCAGGAAACAAATTCCAGTAAAATATATTGTTGCATCATTTCAATGTACACTTACAATTGATTTGTGAATTAAAGATCTGTCATATATATTTACAGTTTTGTCCCGTATGAGAGAACTTGTAGTACTTTGTTCAATATGCTTTCTAACCCCTGGTTCACATCTGTGCGGGTGTTGCCACTGCGGATCCGCACGAAAATCCGTGCAACCGCCGTGCAAAACGCGGCCCACGCGGCCGCATAAGTGTGAACCTAGGGTCAGGGCTCATGTACCCTGCAGCTGATAAACTGACGTTTAGGAGCTGTTCAGAATTTTTTTCAGCAGCCCCTGAACTCGCCCTAATGTTTTCCTATGTGTCCATGTACACATCGTCATTTACAGGCAGTTGAGTTTACAGTCGTTTTTTTGAACGCAGAAAACTTGCGTTCAGCAGTCGATTTTATCAGCGTTTCAAATGCAAAATGCTTGTAAACGTGGCAAATCGCGTTTATAAACGTTTGCAATTTTTTTTTTAACTCTTCTAGTTCCCGATGCTGTCCAGAGCCTTTTTTCATCATGAAAAATGCATGGAAAGCGTTTTCAAGGTACTCAGATGGACAAAACACTGAACACAGGATGTTCCTACCAAGCTTGTCACACATTGTAATGACCAATTCACACCTCAGACCTTTCCCACCCTTGGAAACAAAAGATATATTAATGACCATTCACACCTCAGACCTCTCTCACCTTTGGAAACAAAAGATATGTTAATGACCAATTCACACCTCAGACCTCTCCCACCCTTGGAAACAAAAGATATGTTAATGACCATTCACACCTCAGACCTCTCCCACCCTTGGAAACAAAAGATATGTTAATGACCAATTCACAATTCAGACCTCTCCCACCCTTGGAAACAAAAGATATGTTAATGACCATTCACACCTCAGACCTCTCCCACCCTTGGAAACAAAAGATATGTTAATGACCAATTCACACCTCAGACCTCTCCCACCCTTGGAAACAAAAGATATGTTAATGACCATTCACACCTCAGACCTCTCCCACCCTTGGAAACAAAAGATATGTTAATGACCAATTCACAATTCAGACCTCTCCCACCCTTGGAAACAAAAGATATGTTAATGACCATTCACACCTCAGACCTCTCCCACCCTTGGAAACAAAAGATATGTTAATGACCATTCACACCTCAGACCTCTCCCACCCTTGGAAACAAAAGATATGTTAATGACCATTCACACCTCAGACCTCTCCCACCCTTGGAAACAAAAGGTATGTTAATGACCAATTCACACCTCAGACCTCTCCCACCCTTGGAAACAAAAGATATGTTAATGACCATTCCCACCTCCAATTCAAATTAATTAGGTAATTAAAAAAAATTCAGTTTTTTTAAACATAATATACCAAGAAAACACATCTTGGAATGAATGTGTATTAGACTTTTTGTCATCCTCTAGAAAATTCAAAACTTTCAGCTAATATGTCGGGCGATCAAATAAAACAGCTGAGCTATTCTGTTTATTTGTTACATTTGATGACAAAGACATTATAAAGGCATCTAGAATTCATTTAGTTGTGATACATTTGGCAAATGCACTGCGGGATATTAAACTGCAGGCCTCCGGGAGCCAAAAAACTGTTCTCTAATGTAACAGAAATGGGATAAAATTGCATAGATACCCAATACAAGGCATTGCACCATGTAATTCTCACAATCAACAGCAGATGTCACTGTTGGATTTGGAATCTAAACATACATTACATGACACATTAACTTGCATTGCCTTAAAGTGTTACTAAACCCCAGACCCTGCATTCACTATATCCGCTCTCCCCGGACCCCGCATTCACTATATCTGATCTCCCCCGGACCCGGCATTCACTATATCTGGTCTCCCCGGACCCTGCATTCACTATATCCGCTCTCCCCGGACCCCTGCATTCACTATATCTGATCTCCCCGGACCCGGCATTCACTATATCTGGTCTCCCCGGAACCCTGCATTCACTATATCCGCTCTCCCCGGACCCTGCATTCACTATATGCACTCTCCCCGGACCCCGCATTCACTATATCCGGTTTCCCCGGACCCCGCATTCACTATATCTGCTCTCCCCGGACCCTGCATTCACTATATCCGTTCTCCCTGGACCCCGCATTCACTATATCTGCTCTTCTCGGACCCTGCATTCACTATATCTGGTCTCCCCAGTCCCTGCATTCACTATATCTGGTCTCCCCGGACCCTGCATTCACTATATCTGGTCTCCCCAGACCCTGCATTCACTATATCTGGTCTCCCCAGACCCTGCATTCACTATATCCGGTCTTCCAGGACCCTGCATTCACTATATCTGCTCTCCCCGGACCCTGCATTCACTATATCAGGTTTCCAGGACCCTGCATTCACTATATCCGCTCTCCCCGGACCCTGCATTCACTATATCCACTCTCCCCGGACCCTGCATTCTCTATATCCGCTCTCCCCAGACCCTGCATTCACTATATCAGGTCTCCAGGACCCTGCATTCACTATATCCACTCTCCCCGGACCCTGCATTCACTATATCCACTCTCCCCAGACCCCGCATTCACTATATCCGCTCTCCCCGGACCCTGCATTCACTATATCCACTCTCCCCGGACCCTGCATTCACTATATCAGGTCTCCAGGACCCTGCATTCAATATATTCGCTCTCCCCAGACCCTGCATTCACTATATCCGCTCTCCCCGGACCCTGCATTCACTATATCCGGTCTCCCCAGACCCTGCATTCACTATATCTGGTATCCCCGAACCCTGCATTCACTATATCCGGTCTCCCCGGACCCTGCATTCACTATATCCGCTCTCCCCGGACCCCGCATTCACTATATCTGCTCTCCCTGGACCCTGCATTCACTATATCCGCTCTCCCCGACCCCGCATTCACTATATCCGCTCTCCCCGGACCCCGCATTCACTATATCCGCTCTCCCCGGACCCTGCATTCACTATATCCGCTCACCCCGAACCCCGCATTCACTATATCCGCTCTCCCCGAACCCTGCATTCACTATATCCGCTCTCCCGGGACCCTGCATTCACTATATCCGTTCTCCCCGGACCCTGCATTCACTATATCTGCTCTCCCCGGACCCCGCATTCACTATATCCACTCTCCCCGGACCCCCCATTCACTATATCCGCTCTCCCAGGACCCTGCATTCACTGTATCTGGTCTCTCCGACGATCCCCCACAGAATTTATTGGATCTGCAGATTGAGCATAATGGATCGGACTCCGATCCGTTATGCTCAGTCCGCAGATCCAATCCATCCTGAGGGATGGTCGGCTTGCTTTACAACTTACCTATTCGTGGAGAGGGTCCGGTGTCACCCCATGCGGTCGGTGTCACCCGGTGCTGGCCACACCTGCCTCGGGATGCCACTGTACCTGAGTTCAAATCTCAAAAACCTCCAAGTGTAAATAATCCATCAGGCGCCAAGAGGGAGTGACCACATGGTAACGCTAGAATTTCTGGATGAACCCTCTGCACCCATTTTAGCAAACTTTGCAAACCCCCCCCCCAAAAAAAAAAAAAAAAACTAAACTGGGATTTTTAGTATGTAGTATG